GCTCCGTGTCCCAGCCCCAGGATCAGCATTTCCAGCTGGGAGAGCTTTGCAGTCGCAGCTCGAGCACCTGGGTGAGGGCGTCCCACTTATCAAGGATGAAGCCTTCATCCCAAACACGCCGACACTCAGCAGATCCTGCTCCAGCTCCATGCCTGGGACGCAGCCAGGGGGGTGGCAGCTGCATCCAGGTTGATCCAGGCACGGCACATCCCCATCCTGCTGCATCCAGGTGCTGTCCTGCCTCTGGGCCCCACTGGCACCTGCTCGGCGAGGGCACAGTGGTGCCAGAACACCCAGCAGAGCGAGGAGGAACTCGTGACTTGGGTTCATCCAAAGCTTTTTTTTTTTTGCTTTGTCCTGATACTTCCTTAGGCTGGAAAACCTGGGGAGCCCCCAGGAGCAGGACGGGTAATGCAGGTACCCCCTGGTCACCAGCGGCTGGGTGGAGTCCCTGCCCAGCAGAGCAGTTCATACTCCTCCCAGAAATGCCTGCAGCATTCCCAGCCTTCTCAGGGGAGATGGGAATGCAGCCACCACCCAGGAGAGCAATCCATGCTGTGCTTTCCATCACCTCTCCTAAGGGAACAGACTTCAGTGCCTGGATGTCCGGGAGCACCTCCACCACGAAGGACCCCAAATCTGCGCCCTAACCACCCCCACTCCGTGCCAGGATGGTTTTTTGGGGTGCCAAACGGCTCCAGAGGGGCCAGAGCTGCCCCTTCCCAGCAAAGAGCAGCCTGGGTTTGCCACACAGATCCCAGGAGAGATGTGACATGTTTATTTTCCCTGTGCCAACTCCCCCCTTGCTCTCAGCCCTCTCAGCTTTTTTTCCACGCTGGAAAAGGGAATATTCTTCCCTCCTTCCCTTCCCCACCGGCCCCAGCTCCCTGAAAACAGCCCAGCAGGTCCCTCCACTCAGATTTTTTTTTTTTTTTCAGCCCAAACCACTCCAGGGTTCTCTGATTCCACGACTGGGGGCATCCCAAGATGCCCAACCACCCCCTTTTTCCACGGGCACAGCTGGGTGGGGGACGAGGCTTCCTCTGCCTGACACAGGGGCAGCAAAGTGTGGAAAAAAACCTGAAATATATAAGTAAATAAATAAACAAATAAATAAAATCAAGCAACTCGCTGGGTTTTTTTTGCGTGACCCAAATCTCAACGTTTCACTTTGGTTTTTTTTTTAAGCTGACAGGTCCTCTCGGAGGAAGGAGGGGGGGGGGGGAAGGAAAGGAAAAAAACAACCACCAAAAAAATAAAACCAAACCAACATTAAGGTGAGGGGATGGCATTTCAAACCCAAGAGTTATTGCACATAAAATAAAATAAAAAAAACCCAACCCAAACAACAACAACAACAGTAAAAAAACAACCTCTCCCTGCCACACAGGAACGTGTCAACTCCTTTGAAATGTTTCCTTGTTTGCTTGTCTCCCGGAGCAAAACAGTCAGGGAATTGTTCTGTAGCACTGCAAAATATTTAGGCTGACCCAAATCTCTTGTGTCTCTGCAGCTGAAGGGCCCCCCTGTGACCCCCCCCACAGGCTGGGGATGCTTGGCCAGACACTCAGATTTTTCTCAGAGCTTTTGGGGCTGTTTCGTTCCTTGGGTTTGTTGGTCTGGGTTTATTTTATTTTGGGGGTTTTTTTTTGTTGTTTTGTTTTTGGTTTGTGGTTTTTTTTTTTTTTCTCTCCTCCATTACAGAGGTTATTAAAAAAAATAAACTTTACAATAATACATTTTGAAGTCGTCGGTTCTGAGCTTGGTTTTTCTTTTTTTTTCCTCCTTTAAAAAAAAAAATGGGGGGAGGGGGAATGAAATTAAAAAAAGGCCACACGGTCATATCTGGTTATGTATATACATACATATATATGTAGGTATAGGTGAGGGGGGTATACATACACTATATATGTATATAGAAAAGAAAATGAGAGGAACACAGAGAGGATTCTGACCCCTGATGGGTCAAATCCCATCCCAACCCCAGATTAAAAAAAAAAAAGGTAAAAAAATTTAAAATAAAATAAAATAAAATTAAAAAAAAAAAAAGATCTTCCCCTGGAAGCGACAGATTGAAAACATCAGGACAGCCTCACACGGTTCAACACGAGTTTCTTTTCTCTTCCATCGGAAAACTCGCGGGGAAAAAATAAAACCAGAAACCACCCCGAGCAAAAAACCCCCAAAAACGACGTTGAGAGCTCCAGTGAGTCCCCTTCGAGCTGCAGGAGAGGCTCTTGTCCTCTGGGATGCTCCACTGTGGTATCCTCGTCCCGCAGGCCGGTGGATCCCGCGAGTATTCCTGAAAATCACCACCTTTCCCAAAGCTCTGCTCCGTTCCTTTCCCCTCCCCGGCGCCTCTCGCAGCTCCAGCATCGCCCCCAGCCCCATTCCAGGGCACCTCAGGGTGGGTTGGGCAGGGGGTGGGTTTCACCACGAGCCAGGGCAGGGTGGAAAATCCTGCTTCGGAAAACCAACCCGCCCGGAAAAGACCAAAAATAAAAAACCGCCAGGGAAAGAAAACCAAAAAAAACTCAACGAAACCAGGAAGAAAAACCACCAAAGTGGCGAGTGAGGGTCCTCCTGCCCGCCCGGCGCTCCGGGGGCATTCCCGCGGCATTCCCGCTGCTCGGGAGAGTCTCAGTCCCTGGCACGAGCCGTCTGTCCCGGCCCCCCCGTGGCCTCAGCAGGAGCTGGGGGTGAGGCTGAGTGCCAGCAGGGCACTGGTGGGCACTGGTGGGCACTGGTGGGAGCGTCCCCATCCCGCCGGCCGCCCCTCTATAATCCCAGCAGCAGGATGGGCACGAGGAGCACGAGGAGCGGGATCCGCTGCCGGCTGCAGCCCGCCTTCTGGTCCACGAAGGTCTTCTGTTCTGGCATCGTGTCCGTGGTCAGCTGGGTCTGGGGGGCAGAGAGGGCGTTGGCAGGGTGGGTTTTGGGGGGGAAAGCATCCAGTGAAATGATGAACAGCTGGTTCTGCCCTTCGCTCGTCCAAGGCAGTGGTCCCTGGGGTCCTTTCCAAGCTCCCGGTCCCAGGATCTGCCTCCCTGTGCTCCCTCCCTCCCTCCTCTGCCCCAAACCTACCTCTGAGTAGCACAGGCTCTGCTCTTTGGACTTGTTTGGCTTCAGTCCTTGTTCCTGGGGAGGGGAAAGCAGGAAGGGTCAGGGCAGGAATGTGA